AGCTACTCGGGAGGCTGAGGTAGGAGGATCGCTTGAGCCCAGGAGTTTGAGGTTGCTGTGAGCTAGGCTGACGCCACGGCACTCTAGCCCGGGCAACACAGTGAGACTCTTTCTCAAAAAAAAAAAAAGAATCCAATTTGGAGAGATGGGTGGAGTGGAAGATAAGTAGCTAGAGCTGACTCTGATAAAACTGTAGCTTTAAGCTCTTCATTAAAGTGGGGAAAGGGGGATGAATTAAAATCCCAGACTATCTTTTCTTACTAGTTCTTTCCCTTTCCAATCCGACCTAATACCTTAAAAAAAATTGTCAGAGAAGAGAGCAGGACCCATATTTTTCCCAAAAAGTCCATACATGTAGCATATTACCTGACCTTGCCCCATACCCAGGCTTTAGAAGAGCAGATAGAATGTTCTATACAGCCCTCAAGTTAGGTCAGAGAGAGATAGGTCTCAGAAAATGTGGGAAGGGAGACAGCCACTGGTACAAATCTGCTGTAATTCATCATATCTAGGACCCAGTTGACTCAAAGATGCACCAATTTTATATTCTACTTATTAATAAAGAAGAAAACTGTGGCTAAGTTTAAGATGCCATCAATTTTAGGATTTATCCCAATTTTAGATATGCTATTACATGAAAAAAAGGGTGTCTTAAAATTTATGAAATGTGGCCATTGTAATCACTACACCTGAAAAAAATGAAATAAGGAACACAGCATGTAAATGCCAAATAATTCATTCTAGAATAAAAGACAAGAAGAAAATTCCCTCTTAATGCTACAGAAAAACGAACAAAAAAACTGGCACAAAAATCAGTAAACTAGATCATTCTAAGATGAGATGATAAGGCAGTAGAATGAAATGAAAAGGAGATTGTAAAGCTAAGGAAATAAATTGAACACTAAACAGCATTATTATAAAACAAATACATCAGAAACAACAATGAACAGAATAGATGTGACTAAAAATTAAATTTTGACAGCTCATAGTGAATGCAGTAGAAAAAGAGATTAAAGGTATTGGAGAAACAATATATATGGAGGACAAAGATGGTTCAACATAAGAATGGCAATGGCTGTTCCATTTAAATAGAGAGTCTCCAAAATGTGTTCAAAATATGATAGAAGAGAATTTCTTTGTAAGGAAGTGAATCTGTAAGATAACATTAGGTTCCAAGAGAAATTGAAACGAAATGATTAGTAACAGAAATTATCCTGATTAAACTATCAGGCTTTAGTCAGGAGCTGTGGCTCACGCCTGTAATCCTAGCACTTTGCAAGGCCAAGGCAGAAGGATTGTTTGAAGCCCAAGGTTCATTACCAGCCTGGGCAACATAGCAAGACAAAAAAAATAAAAAAGAATTAACTATTGGGCTTCAATTGTTAGTAAAGAAATCTAAAGGCATACAGGCAGAAAAGGGGCAAAATCACCCTGGCCTTAAATTTTTTCATACATCTTGACATTTCTGAAGCAAAGAAAGTATGATCTGATAGTATGTCTAACTGTCATGTGTGTATCAAGGCCACTAAAGATATTCTTAGACATAAAAGAATTCAAGAAATATAGCAGCCTTAGGCCTTTTTTGAAAGAAAAATACTACTACTTGAAAATGAAATCCATCTAATTGAAACATGAAAGAAGTTGTAGTATAATAACTAGTGTGATACAGAATGCTAGGAGACATTATGAAATTGTAGTTCAGAGGGAAAGATAATGTGAAATTTTATGTAAGCTAAATTTCCCTTTAAGTATAAAGGTAAGAAACACTCTTTTAGCAAATAGAAATCAAGGAATATTAAGAATATAAGAGCCCTTCACACACATGATAGAATGTCAGTGAAAATCAGGCAAAAACATTTGTACCCCCATAATATTCTGAAATTAAAAAAAAGAAAGGAAAAAAAAAACCCAAAAAGAAAATCAGGCATCCAATGAGTCTAATTAAAGAACTCAGGAATGTATAGACTTCAGGAAGAAGACAAGTGTAAGCCTTGAACCATTTAAGTGTGGACCTAAAATCAAACAATTAAACTCAAATAAAAGTTACAAACTGTGACAATAAAAAGAATAATAAAAAATTTAAGAGGAAGAAGATGTGTAATTTCCTCATCCTTAATATCTGGAAGTCAGAACTACTATGTAAGTTTGAAGCATGTGGTTAAAAAACAACATGAGGACACAAATAATTTCAACATGAAAACATTTTTTCTTTTTCTGTTTTTCAGATTATTGAATGTTTTAGAAGTAATAGCTCCCTTCAAGCACTTTAACAAGCTTAGAGAATTTGTTCAGATGAAGCTTCCTCCAGGATTTCCTGTAAAATTAGGTAAGAGAAAAATTTAGGTGTAATTTTATTGTCTTTTAGAAATATTGAGCTGTTCATCAACATTTAATAAGAAATATGTTTTAAAGGAAAATAGATTTCCTAGTTGCTTACATTTTTGTAAAGTTTTTAAGTAATTATACGCATTGATATTCATGTTTTGTCCCCTCCCCTTTCCTTACTGTCACACAATTCTTTGCATATAGCATGCTTTCAATGAACACATGCTGAATAAAAAAATTATGGGAAGGTCATTCTTGTCACCGTGTATTATATTCTCATTACATCTGGTAAAACTTAAGGTACATTACTGCTTTGATCACAACCCTCCATTGGCTTTCCATCTGATCCAGAGTAAAAGCCAAAGTCTTTTCCTTGGCCTAAACCCCACCTGATCTGGCTGCCTATTTCCTCTCTGACCTCATCTGCTAATCTTCCCCTTATTGACTCGGCTGCAGCCACAGTGACCGCCTGGCTACTGCAAGAATAAACCGCATACTTTCCTTTTAGGACTTTTATACTTCCTTCTGTTTGGAATTTTCTTCCTCCAGGCTACTGCATGGTTTGTTCCTACCTCAGGTCTTTGCTGAAAAGTCACTTCATTGAGGTTTTTCTTTGACTACCCTATTCAACAACTCTTATCCCCAACAATGAGATTTCCTATTCCCCTGCCATGCTTTGTTTTTCTCTAGATACTTATCACTATTACTCTTTACTTATTTATTTTCTGTCTGTCCCAACCAGTGTAATCTCTATAAATGCATTAGCCTCTTTTCTTGTTTACTGATGTATATCTAATGCCTAGAACAGGAGTCAGCAAACTTTTTCTGAGAGATAATAAATATTTGAGGCTTTATGAGCCATCACATGGTTTCTGTCACCACTACTCAACTCTTTTTGGAGAGCAAAAGCAGCCATAGACAACAAGTAAATGAACGGGCATGTTGTATTCCAATAAAACTATTTATGGTCACTAAAGTTTGACTTTCATGTAATTTTCACTTCTTGAAATACTATTCTTTTTTTCCCCCAATGATTTAAAAATCTAAAATCTTTTCTTAGTTCATGGGCCCTTTTTAAATAGTCCTGGCAGAAGGCCTTAGTTTGCTGACTCCTGCATTAGAACAGCATCTGCACGCAGTAGGCACAAATGAATGTTTTTTTTCTAGAAGTAACTGGAAACACTGTAATTCTTATGTTGACTTTTGTGTTTGTCTAATTAAGGTATTTTATTTTCTTTTTTACATGAGACTGTTGCTTTCTGCAATATAATACTACTTTGTATCAGTCATTCTTAATTTACTGTATGTTTTTACTCTCAACAGACACTTGAGTTAGCTTTTATAGACTTATTTCAGAAGGGATTTTCAGTGTTTATTTCATAGATGAAATCCCTGAGGCTCATAAGTAAAATTATTGATAGGAATCAGAACCTAAGTTTTATGACTTATGCTGTTTCCAGTAACTCATATTAGGAATAAAACTAATCAGAATGATTAATGTATTTGCCCATTTTAAATGCCAGATTTCACTTATAAAAAAGTATAGCCAGAAATATATTTCATTTGGAAGAATATTAGGCTGTGTTGGAATGGTGTTACTCTAGTTTTGATGAGATTGTTTTTATACCACATATTTAAGTGATGGATTGTTTTTAGTGTTTTAAAACAAAAAT